CGTGATTGGGTGGAAGGATTGAAAATTAATATTCTCAGATATATTTATGAACACAAAGAGAATGGATATATATATGAAGAAATACATTGAGAATTCGCATTCTCCATGTGATGAAAATATTAATTCTTTCTCGGTTTATTCAACAGAAAAAAACAACTTTCCTGGCGATATGCCACGACGAACATTGAATTACATCTATTGAACACACACGATAAGAATTTTCATGCTCTTTTTTGGATATTCAACAGATATGTTCGACGTGACAAATAGCCAGGAAAGTAGTTGTTTTCTGTTGAATATTCAGAATAATATTATGTGCATACCTTTTTATGAAGGGGAATGCAAATTCTCTACTTCAGAAGATTTTGTTTTCAAATTCTTATCGTGTGTGTTCAATAGATGTAATTCAATGTTTGTCGTGGCATTCAGCCAAAAAAAGTAGTTGTTTTTTGTTGAATAAACCGAGAAAGAATTAATATTTTCACCACATGGCGAATGCGAATTCTCAATGTATTTCTTCATATAAGTAATTATTTTTTATATATATCCATTTTTTTGTGTTCATAAATATATCTGAGAATATCCCTTTTCAATTCTTTTACCCAATCAAGGGGCTGAAACTTGTACGATGGAAACTTGTTATTTTTATAGACTTCAATCGCAGATTCGTGATTAGGTTTTCTCAATTCAGAATTTCCTTCCACGTCATGTATAATGAATATCAATTTATCATACATCCAAAAAAAAATCAGTCATATTTCTATTGCGTCTTATATCCGCAAAAATATCCATATCAGGATCTAACCTACTTCTTTATACAAAATACAACGGAATGGGAGTCGACATTAAACAATCAGCGTCAAATCGTTCACTCTGACAATACTGGACAAATAAAGAGGATAAGTGCTGCCGTCCTTACGCCATGACCAAATAGATGGATATTTGTAACTTTTTTGCTACGTTATTCAAATGAAACATATCATTAGAATAATCTCGAAGGTATCATAAGACATTTTGTTTATGGTCAAAAATAATGACGTCCATATAGTATGTCAAGTAGAGAGTCACGATTCAGACGTCGTTTTTCGAGAACATTAATCACCTCATTATGACTGTAGTTTGAATCTCGTGAAAATGACATCCTATATTGATCACATGACGTCTGTGACCAATATTGACTAGAAATCGACGTCTTCCTCATTGAATCTAAGATCTGGAGTGCCTCAAGGATCAATTTTAGGTCCACTGCTCTTTTCTATATACACCAGCCAGTTAATAAAATGTCTCAAATATTGCAGCTGTCATCTATATGCAGATGACACGCAAATCTACTATTCATTCGACCCACATGCCACTGCTGAGATGATGCGCAATATCAATGAAGAGTTGAACCAATTCAATACCCTCGCCACTGACCATTGTCTGATATTGAATCCCGGAAAATCTCAGGCACTGGTATTTGGACCTAGGAACTCAAGAATCCTAGTGAAAAATGAAACTAAAATTGAGATTAACCAGGGCCTACTCTATCTCACCGGGCCGGAGCATCGCTTTCGTGACGTCACACTAGTAGGGACAAAATCAACGCAGTGGAAATTGTCTCTCCCGTTTCATTGATTTATCTCGGGAAAACGGTCACAGTTAGCGAAAAATATCAGGAGGTCAAATATGTACAGAAAAGAATTTTCCAGAAGATGAATCAAATTTCACTGATTTACGACCATTATTTTCAGAAATATGGCATATCAAAATTAATTGACGCCATTCAGAATTGTCCTTTTTCAAACAGCTACCAAAATTCCAATATTCAATTCACAGAAATAATTCAACCATGAAAAGATTTCGCATAGTATCTAGATTGACTGAGTTTTTTTTTGAAATTCCCAAGGGCCAACAACAAACCGATATTTCAATTCAAGTAGAACGATGATTCAGGTGTTCATTACAGAATAGTTCAAAAAGTTCGGACGCCTCCCATGCTAATCCTATCAACTATGGATATATGCTGTCACTGACTTTTTTGTAGGAAATTTGATTGCCTACAAATCGGTATTATACACATCCACTTTATCTCGCTGGGTTTTAGCAGCGTTCATCTCTAAAGATGATCAGGACGCACTTTGATGACGTTAGAAATCCTATAACTCGAGTGTGTTATTACACAAAAACGCCTATTCGGTAACAATTATTTTCTGCTGAAGAGTATATATTCGAATGATAACGTTAAATTCGTGAAAAAAATTTGATTTGAATATATTTGATATATTTGCAAACTATCAGAATTAAAAAGAACAAAATATGTGGAGTTCATATATAAACACAAAAATACAACAAAAATAATTAAAAAAATATGTATCACAACAATGAGAGATATAAAAATGAATATAACGAACTGAATAACAAAATACCCATAACAACGATATATGAATGAATAAGGAAAAAATGAAAAAAAAAAACGTTGAATCCTTATACACAAACAAAACCAAACAAAATAAACTGTAAAAATTATCAACATAACAAAATAAAAAAAATTGATAGATATCACAAAATGAAATACACTAATAACAAAAAATATATATACATCATCTCAATCACAAACTAAAATTTGAAAACTGAACTATATATCTCATCCTGAAAGTTTAGTGATTTTTCTTTCTTATTTTTTTTTTATTTTGCAATAATTGTTCAAAAGAATATTTGAAATGGTTTTAGAGAATGTTCTGCTGATTAAATCAAGACCCACAACTGCAACATTGATTCTCGGAATAATTGAGAAGGGAATTGATTTCAATTTCTGCTAAATTCTCCAAAACTTTATGTTGTGACTTACATTGTAGAAATATTGTTTCGAATTTTTCAGGCACCAATATTAGTTGGTCTGAACCATACGCCATTTAGAAATAAAATGAGTGATAAGAAGTATATCGCCCTTTACCAGTCCAAGGAATTACCGCGAAATTGTAATACAGCGAAATTTGAGTAGGTAGGTATATCGGCCCATTTTTTACTCGCTCTTTATATTTAATTTCTTTCGGACTCATTGTAGGTAACTCTACAATTTTTTCACTATTCAATTGATTCATTATCGTAGTTTGATATATTGAGTTAGTTTCATCTTATTCCAATTCCAAATTTGCAAAAAATAGTATTCTGTAGTACAACGTCCTGATTTTCAATAAAATGGAATTTCGTTACAACGCCATAACTCGGTATTGATTCATCCTATTGGATTCATTTTTTCATCAAAAGTTGAGGAATTTATTGGGGATCATTTCGTCTCGATTGAGTGTGCTTCTAAAATCTATAGTAAATGAGCTATAGCCTATCAATTACGAACGCATCAGTACGGACTGATGTGAAATCTCAACCTACTAGTGTGACGTCAGCGTCGAGAGAGAGGGGATAGACTACGGCCCGGTAAGATAGAGTAGGCCCTGGATTAACTCGAATGATTTAAAAATAGTTGATGAAGCTAAAAACTTAGGTGTGGTTATGGATACAACTTTCCGTTTCGATTCGCACATAAATAGGATGATCCAAAAAGCATATTGCTCACTGAAATTAATTTATGGAATCAGAAAATTTATTACAAAGAAAATTAAAATTTTTCTCTGTGAGTGCCTTGTCCTATCAGCCCTCAACTTTGCCGATTCTCTTTATGGTCCTAGTCTAACTGTGAGGAATAAACACAAGCTGCAAAAAATACAAAACTCGTGTCTGCGCCTCATTCATGGAGTGAGGCGCAGACAAAGCATTTCCTCTAAATTAGAGATTACAGGGTGGCTGAACGTGGAGCGGCGGAGGCTCTTACATTCCGCGTGTTTATTCCACAAAATAATCAAAACCCATACTCCTTCTTACCTCTATGATAAAATAACCTTCAGGAGTGATATACATAACCTGAACGTCCGTTTCAGAGGGTTACTGTCTCCTCCTAATCACTTTCATGAATTCTTCAAAAGGTCTTTTTCATACCAGATCTGCCATATATACAACCGACTCCCAACCCGACTCAAGGACATGAATACGAATACATCCAAAGCTAATTTGGAACAAATTTCATTTGAGCAACAGTGTGCCTTCTATGAAAACTTCCATACTGGACTGGTCTAACGTAGAAACGATATGCTCAATGCTCAGTGGATTGAATGATTTAATCGAGAATCATATTATAGTCACGTGATATTAAGAAAACGATTGGAACCAATCGCCTCTATACCGTCTTTGAGTTGACATAATCAATGATATCGTTTAGTTCTATCACACTTTTTCACAATGACAAAGACGAACTTATAGACGATTATTTTCAAACAGTTGGGCATTGGCCTCTGCCTTACTTCTTTTTTTGTGTGAACTTCTATTTATACTTTTTTGAATATCCTTATTCTTTTGGTATCAACAAAGTTCTACCTTTTTTTTTTTATATAAATTTTATGCTACCTACGGCATAATTATTATAGGCTCTAGGGATGTGATATGATTCACCTACTCTATTCAATATTCCGTTCGCCTATTGTAGTTACAACTTTATAGTAATAAGTATAGTGCATAAATTTTTTTTTTTTCACTTCATTATGTTCATTTAGTACATAAGTTTCTAATGGTTAAGTGTAAGAGCAAAGCTACAGTGCCTCGCAGTGTAGATTTGAACTTCGCCATTTGGATTCAAAACTACACTCTTATGATATCTATATCTATATCTATATATGTACCTATATGAATCGATGTATCACAGCTTTGAATCCAATAAAGACATTTATTATTATTATTATTATAAAGACGTCTCTGAAAGCAACCGTACTACCTGGGATAAAATCCAAACTTATTGAGCAGTTTTCAACTTGAATGGAATCAGCGAAATGATGAAATTCCCGCAATGTACAGACATATATTTTATTGATGAATATAATATATCACCATATTTCGAAATATAGAACATTTTATGAAGTCAAAAAGTATTAGGACTTTGCAAATTTATTTATATCTGTCCCGGATGAAGACTAATAAGGACCTCGAATGAGAGCTTCCATGCACCTTCTATAATCTCCTGAACAATTCCTCTGAAACAACCAAGAATACAATCATATATAATCAGAAAAAAACATATTCCACGAATAATATGTGAAAGTTTACTGTAGCACCTACACAACTGAAGCAACATTGGCTACAATCAATTTGAAAAAAAAATTAAATAATCGTATCGACAACCATAATCACTTACTGCGATTGCATCTAACAGAGGCTCGCCATATTCCGCTTCATACTCCCTTGCGATATCTCCCAAATCAATCTCACATCTAGTCGTCATCAACCTTATCAACTGTCTGTTATCTGTTCCCAGTCCTCTCATGCTCTTATTCAACATCTTGGCGAAAAACAGCGGCTGATTCTTTATGGATTGCACAAGCGCCAAGAATCCTCGCTGGGAATCCCCAGAAAACTCATTCTTGATGGCCTGCTCGATGTCGTGTCCTGATATACGTTCATACTCCCTCAAGATCAACTGCACCTGTGCAAAGCTGCGATGGGTGAGAATCCTGATGAAGGTGGATTCGTCTGTGCCTATGCGCTCCTCTCCGGCATCAAAGAGCGTCTGCGCGTCCCCAATAGCTTCTTCCTGATTGGCGGGCGAATCTTCGTCTCTGCAAGCTCTGCAAAGAGAGACCATGAGCCGTTTGAAAACACCACTGGTGTCACCTTTGATGTCATTCTCCAGGTTACTGTAAAAAACTAGAAACAATACATTGGTATGAGTAAACTGACAGTCTTTTGTATGTTCATAAATCAGCATACATTGTGAGTTCAAATGTGGACAACTATCCCAGATAGCACAAGTACATCTTATGGATATACTATGATATCCATCATGGATATTGTGGATGTCCATAAGATATCCGAAAAAGGCTCTGGTATATCCTATGGACGTCCATAGTGACATGTGACAAAGGAAGTCTCAAAGCAATAACGGGATTTCTAACGGGGCATTGCAGACTCGAAGAACACCTAAGGAAGCTAGGCTTACAGGAGGACGGCACCTGCAGATTCTGTGAGGAAGAACCAGAAACACCCCATCACATACTGATGGAGTGTGACGCTGTACATCACAGAAGATTGAACATACTGGGAACACACCAGCTGACTGTGGAAGAAATACCACAGCTAGACCCCCTCAAAATCCTCAAATTCCTGAAGAAGTTGAATCTCGAGGGGCTGCTATGAACAAGAAATCCTTGATATAGCAGGAGCAGATGGGGCACAATAGATCTAATTGGGTCGCAGCGCATCTGTCACCATCCAACCTACCAATACCAATACCAATACATGTGACAGTGTGACCTTTTTGGATGTCTTAAAGATATTCATTATGGATATCCATAAGATATCAACTATGGATATGGATAAGAGATAGTATACCCTATATATAGAAAAACATCATAAAAATTGGAGAGCACTCACGTTTCACTGCGTTCGAATAATGTAGTTGTCAGTTCTTATATCAATCTTGGACGAATTCGTAGGAATCACTTTCGAATTCACTTCGTATTAATTAAATATGAGAACAGATTGTCCTTATTTGACTATTCCAAGGTTGGTAGAATCGATGATCTATAAATAATCATCAGTCTACCAATCTTGGACTATTTGAGACGTTACGCCACCTCGCGCTGTTTTTGAAAACCGAATTAATAATAAAAGCAGATAGTGCATCACAATGTGTGCTATCTTTTGGAAGGCCCACGCACAAGTGTTATTTTGTGGATCTCCTTTCATTTATTTATCATTGCATTCATTGTATATACTGGATTTGAAATTTCTAGGTATTGATCTCTTGTCTCTGTATCTCATGAATATCCTATGTATGGACGTATTCAGAACGTTTGTTTCGGATATCTCAAGTACATTCGCAATCGGATATCTTATGGATACACATTTTATGTTCTCGGATATCCCGCCTTGAATAGGACTTGAAATGGATATCCATAAAATATCCCGTGTTAACTAGGTTTGTATGTCTTGAGGAAATTGAATGGATGCCCACTGGACGTTCAACATCCAATCGAGTTCGAGTAGTTCTCTTTTGGACGTATATTGTACGAACATTGGACTTATACAGGGTGTCCGGAGATAAAACCGACAAAACTCATGGGGTTATAGGGACTGTCGATATGATTGTAAAATGCCATAAACGAATGTCCACAACCACTTCGTTACTGAGATACAGAGTGATTTGTGGATTTTGACAAAAAATTCAATCCGCCATATCGAATACAGGGATTAACCGATTAGATTCAAATTTGGTACACGAATTACACTGAAAAGCATCAACAAGTAGCCCTCTGATCAAAACCAATATCAGGACCGGATTAATATTTTTCCCCTATGTTGAGTTATTGTTAGAATAACTCACTCTGTATGATAAAAACCAGAAATTTCAACTCAGATTCGAAATCTACGGTGAAAATTGTATAGAAATTTGTTGAAAAATCTTCTGGCACTATCTTAGTTATTCCGTAATTAATTATTATTTTAATTTTTCACATTAAAAAATCAATTATTTTCGGATAAAATACCACCAAAATTGGTAATATAATGAATATTTACGAAACCATGACATGAATGTCGTTATTTTTTTTTCAATCAGTTCATAAATCGGAGTAAAATGAAATATTCTCATAACCCGAAGAAATTGAAGTATAAATTCGTATCAGGACGGGAATGAGTTTTTTGTTTGTTTATGTTAGCTGACCTAGTACATCAATAGTTACCAATAATCTGATCGTGGATTCGGAATCTAAAAAAATCGTATAAGATCCTGTTAAAAAAGGATAAGAGTGATGTTTTCGTAAATTATATTCGCTCACTAATGAATTTGAATTGAATGAAAATACTACACAAAGAACAATAACTGTTTGCAATGAACATAACAAAACCAATGAATTCGTAAAAAACTTTCACTACCCAGTATTACAAAACATTCTCGAAGTGGAGCCATCCAGCATCAATACATTTGTGAGAGCGTGCTATTAGATGATTCACTGACTTGCGAATTATTTGAGGCATATTTCTAACACTAACACGAGAAGCAGGTAGCAGTAATTTTCTATAATACATTTTCTCTCATTCAAATTTCTTCATTATGAACTTCTTACCTTAAATGACCTCATAAAAAATAATCTAGCTGAGTTAGATCAGGGGATTACAGTGGCCAATTTACTGAACCTCCACGGCCAATCCATCTATTGGGGTAATTGGCATCGAGATGGTTTCTAACTGGAACTGAAAAGTGAGGTCTAGCACCATCATGCTGAAACCACATACCCCAGGTATTTACACCTTGCAATAGAAATTTAGGTAAACATCACCAGTTAAAGCCCATACAAAAATAGAATATCTGCGTATTCCTCATTAGGCATCATAAACACACTCTCAGAACTATAGTTTGATCCTAAAAAAACTGGAATAATGAATGAACACCAATAAAACAAACGCTGATGACAGGTAAACAATGGTTTCCCATAATGAAATTCTGAATTTGACACAAGCCTAGTATATTCTTTATACACAAACATTATAAAGTACTGATTAGGGATTCATTATTTGAAAGTTCAGTCCGATCATTTTTCAACAAGTTTTTAATTTTTCTCAGTGTATTTCGAATCTGCGATTAGATGATTGTTATACTAGATCATCTATTCTTACAGGAATATAATCATAGAAAACCTCATTCCAGTCCTGATACGAATTTATTTTTCAATTTTTTCGGGTCATGAGAGTAATTTATTTTACTACGATTCACGAACTGATTGAAGAAAATAACTATATTCATGTCATGGTTTCGTCAATATTCATTTTATTTCCAATTTTGATGGTACTTTATTCGACAATAATTGATATTTGAATGAAAAAAATTAAAATGATAATTAATTACGAAATAACTAAGATAGTGCCAAGAGATTTTTCAACAAATTCCTATAAAATTTTCACCGTAGATTTCGAATCTGAGTTGAAATTTTTGGTTTTTATTATACAGGGTGAGTTATTCTCACAATAACTCAACATAGGGAAAAAATATCATTCCGGTCCTGATATTGGTTTTGATCAAAGGGCTACTTGTTGATGCATTTCAGTGTAATTCGTGTATCGAATTTGAATCTGATCGGTTAATCCCTGTATTTGATAAGGCGGATTGAATTTTTTGTCGAAATCCACATATCACTCTGTATGTCAATAACGAAGCGGTTTTGGACATTGTTTTATGGCATTTTGCAATCAAAATGACAGTCCCTATAACCCCATAGGTCATGTCGGTTTTATCTCCGGACACCCTGTATGAGCTATGTGGGTAATTGAATATAAATTGTTGAATAAATAATCGTCAGATACATGACAAAGAACACTTACGCGCGTGATATGCCTGTCGTATAGCCAAGATTTCCTGGTTCGACTTGGTGCATAGGACTTCTAAGAGGGTATCTTCGTCCGTACTGACTCCTGTAACGGCATTACGCAATTCCTTAGCATAGAAATCTGGTAGAGGTGTCATCATGGCCAAAACGGATTTTTTGAAATTGCCGTGCAACTTTTTTTGGAAACGTTCGACCATATCCTGAAAAGGAAACATTCAATTCATAGAATGATACAGGGTGGCCTTGAAAATGTGCGAATATATCAAACCCTGAGAAAGCTCGACGTATACTATCGAATGGCACCAATAAAAATATCTGGAAATAAATCTAGGACATAAACCTAGTATATAAGGATCCCGTTAGGATAGAGCATTTAGTTTTAATCTTTTCCTGAAGATGCTAACATAGCTAGCGAAACACTTGTCGAGGTGTAAAAAATCGTTTTGGTTAGTGGTTAAACAGTGTGTAGTGTATTATCGTGTCAAAGGTTCCAGTTTTCGATATATCATCATTATTATTATTATTATTTGAGCTCATATTAATCCAGTCACGACCCTGCGGCCTCCGACGCCACGCAGAGCCGTGCTGGATGAAATCCAGTGACTACTCCCCACAGCCTGTGGGGTGAACAATCACTGGGACCAAGAACCGTGTGCCCTGAGTTAACGCAATAATTCAAGTATGACGGCCTTCTGCATTCCACCAGCCAGGATGTGTGCCTTATCGCTGCACGCTGGGATTTGCTGAACTTCCTAGAGCAGCGTATATGTCGTGTGCTTCCTCAATAATATCATTATTATTATTATTATTATTTGAATTTATGTAATTCCAGTCACGACCCTGCGGCCTCCGACGCCACGCAGAGTCGTGCTGGATAAAATCCAGTGACTACTCCCCACAGCCTGTGAGGTGAATAATCACTGGGACCAAGAACCGTGTGCCCTGAGTAAACGCAATGATCCAAGTATGACGGCCTTCTGCATTCCACCAGCCAGGATGTGTGCCTTATCGCTGCACGCTGGGATTTGCTGAACTTCCTAGAGCAGCGTATATGTCGTGTGCTTCCTCAATAATATCATTATTATTATTATTATTATTTGAATTTATGTAATTCCAGTCACGACCCTGCGGCCTCCGACGCCACGCAGAGTCGTGCTGGATAAAATCCAGTGACTACTCCCCACAGCCTGTGAGGTGAATAATCACTGGGACCAAGAACCGTGTGCCCTGAGTAAACGCAATGATCCAAGTATGACGGCCTTCTGCATTCCACCAGCCAGGATGTGTGCTTTATTGCTGCACGCTGGGATTTTCTGGATTTCCGAGAGCAGCGTGTGTCTAGGGCCTCCTAGGGAGCCGATTATCAGGATGACCAATTCCACGGAATGGTCTGGATAGAGATAGATATTTTCATTATTATTATTCGAATTCACATTATTCCAGTCACGACCCTGCGGCCTCCGACGCCACGCAGAGCCGTGCTGGATAAAATACAGTGACTACTCCCCAAACCCTGTGGGCTTAATAATCACTGGGACCAAGAACCGTGTGCCCTGAGTAAACGCAATGATTCAAGTATGTGCCTTATCGCTACACTCTGGGATTTTCTGAATTTCCTAAAGCAGCGTATGTCGTGTGGCTCCTTAATGATAATATTATTATCATTACTATCATCATTATTATTATTATTATTGATATTATAATTATCATTATTATTATTAATATTATCATTATCATTATAATTGTGATGAAGTTTTTTTCTCGAAAACCTGAGAGAGCTGAGAAATTCATTATTTCAATCATTACAACCCTGAAGATTTGAATATTTGCCAACGCTTGGCTTATGATGTGAAATTTAGATGAATTACCTATCTGTTGGAATGATTGATGTATACCTGATCATAACTTCTTTCTTATTGAATATTCATTCAGTAGCATAAGCACGGGTCGTAGATTATTTTCCTGTCCCCTTCAAGGGTTAGAGATTATCATTCCACGTTTTTCAGTTTGAGGTTTACATGTGGTCTCTAGGTCAGATCTAGCAGATTTACGTGGCCATGACAAGGTTGTAATGCAACCAATCAAAATCTAGGATTCAGATATCCTTCTACCAAGTCCACTAGAGGGTATAAATACTCAACGACAGAATGATGAAGCTCTCTATTGATTCACTGTCTCTCTCTTGCTGATCTGATAGTGTTTTGATATATTTCTTCCGATATTGTGGGTAGAGTGAGTTAAATGTTGCATATGTAAATTTGTGTATATTTTTCATGATTTATCCACCCAGTGAATAGATCCATTTTATTCCTGCTGATTTGTCATACCCGATACTTCGGGACCATAATTATGTATAATGGAATGGACGTGTTTTTCCGGCACTATTGCTATATAACCTAGCCTCGGGATATAATCTTGGTCCGTGAGTGATGCTGATGCTTGGTGAATAAATAGCTATTTTGTGATCGCATCTTTCATATTCATTTTTCTGTTCTGTTGTCAACGTTTCCAATTCCAATAATTTATTCAATGATTTGCATTTGTCGAATTGTTTGAATAATTTGTTGTTGTCATTCCTGCTTCCTATTCTTTTTCTCAAGCATTCCCTGTATTGAAATATTAGGAAATTAGAGAGTAGGGAAAATAAATACGAATTCAATCGGTTTCAGTAGTTTGGAACTGTTCTTCTGGTTATCTAGGCGAAACTAATGAAATAGTTTGTACCTCATCTTGAATACCAGTGGGCTGATTGAACTCTGGGATCAAGAACCGTGTGCCCTGAATGAACGCAATGATCCAAGTATGAGATCGAAGTTTCAATAAACTCGACACCTCCCAATCTGCACAGCGGCCTCAGTATCCCCCTGAGCATAGGCCATCACCATGCATGAGTACCTATTACGAGCGCCCTGCGGCAGGCCCTGCTAATTGTTTCAGGAACCTCAATACCCATGACACGGCTACGGCAGACGAGAGTGTTGAAGACCACACCCAGGCATGCCATGATGAACCTCTCTGTTTCCGATTCAAGCCCGCCTGACTCGAGGAAAGCTAAAGACAGTTCTTTGGATAAGACTCGGTCTCCAATAATGGTCTTGTAGTAGACCGAAAGCATGGGTATTTCCATGTAAAGCTACATGGAGCTTTCGGACTCTTGCAGCTTTAATGCGGGCTCCAGGCCAGTTATTCATCGGATGCTCATGGGTTTTAACCATTTGCGGGAAGGAATCTGAACACCTGATGACTTTGCAGGTGCGGTCTAGAACCATTTCGTTATGTAGATACCTACTTGAAGCTCGAAAGTCCACGGCCACCCTGATGGTTTCGAGGTATGTTCAACTGTGGAATGGACGAATTTGGATGAAGACACCTATGGAGATGCATCATCTTGCGAGAACTTACGACGAGTTGTCGCAGATCGACTTGAGTCCACTTTATCACTCCAAATGAGTTAAGTAGGATCAGAATAGCAAGCATGTTAGTAGTAGCGACTTTGTTATTTCCCGGAAGTTCTGACGAGCTAATCTGTCAGAGCCGCTGCCGATACTTACTGTGGAGAACTTCTTCCACCCGTTGTCTCCTGGTTGTGAGTTTTTTTACACCCAGGTAGGGGTACGTTTCTCCGGCATATATGTGATGCAGGATGCTTCCGTTCACGAGCTGCGCGTCCTTGTCGTTGTTCTTGAATTGACCCCTCTTCAGATGAATCACCCTAATAACACAGTTATGTCCCATGCATATCCTTAGACATTCAGGACGTCCATATGACGTTCGAATTTGATACCGTGGACGTCCATTGGACGTCTGTGGGAGGCACAAATCTCCCACTTGAGGACCAACTAGAGACGTCCTTGAGAGATGTTCCCTGGGACAACTGTCAATGTCAATCATGTTGCCGGGGTAGCAACGGGTCAGACCAAGTCCCACCCCTCCTTCCAAGACTCCCCTAGAAGATGAGTGCCGGCCTATATCTTTCGACTTTACCGACAATACACCCCAGAGAGAAATGGAAGATTTGGACGCGCCAAATCAGCGCGCTAGAGCCATCTCCGTTATGTAACGGCATGTTCTCCTGCTACCATTTTATTATTCCAATGGTGAGACCGTCTGACAAGACAGACTACTGATTCTGCAGTGTCAGTGCCCGAGCAGAAACGCTGCTCACCCGCCGAGGCAGGCAAGATATCCTCCCACTTGACCCATAGTGGGATTCTTCTTCACCTTCTCTACCGTAGTCCTGTGGTGTTTTTTGGAAACCGCTGCCCCCTGGAGTCCAACCCAATTGGTGAGGCACCAGGCCGTATGTACGGCCTGATGGGGCTATCCTCATCACGTCAGATTTCTCTTGTTACGTTTGATGGGTAGCCGTCGCAAGAGGCTTTCGCCTTATTGCTACTCATGTTGACAAGAATCCTCTCGTCCCGTTGAATGAGTAATCGTTCGAGGACTTTTACATGTTCCTCTACCTCGTTGATAGAAGAGGACCCGGCTTTACCTATATGATGCCTGGCGATAGGATCGTTTGGGGCTACCCCCTCCCTGACGAACTAACTTTTTTGAGGTTAGATTTTTCAAATCAAATTCAAAGTGAGCAGGTTCCATACTTATTGCAATGAATTCATTGTTCAACCCCTTTGATGGGTTAGAACATTACTCCACTTGATTTTATGAAATGACACTACGATAATGTCTTGCACCAAGTTCTCGTATGGAATAAGGTTCCGACGGCTCGACAAGCTGACATAATGACTTCAACGCCTACCTATGACCTGCCTTATACCGACCTGATTCCGAATAGAGTTGATTGATCCATCAAAGAAGAAACTACTAAAAGAACATTCAAAGTTGGTGTGTAAATATGGATAGCTCTGGCAGCACTCAGCTCGTACCGAACAATGTCTAAATTGCTATTGAACTACCACATATGACTTACCGCAATACAATAGGAAGACCTAACAAATTGTTCTTTCGGATTCTTGGCCAATCTGATATATGGAAAGTAATGAAACGGCAAATTCCCTTGCAAGGTATATTCTCACGAGTAGAACATACGCAGTATATTAGTAATTTGGAACCATGAGGGTTTTATGAACATAAAGTTGATCAGTAAGTTCAGGCTCACTTTGAATTTGGATTGATCAATCTATATCCTCAAAAAAGTTTTGTTTGAAACTACTCTGTACGCTGGTGTATCTTAACC